CAGACAGTGGGCCAGGCCAAGGGTGGCAGGTCTGGGCATCTGCATCCTCTGACGTCTTCTCTTTCCTAACTCTAGACGACTTCCGGATCTTCTGTGGGGATCTGGGCAATGAGGTGAATGATGACATCTTGGCACGTGCCTTCAGCCGCTTCCCATCCTTCCTTAAGGCTAAGGTTATCCGTGACAAGCGCACAGGCAAAACTAAGGGTTATGGCTTTGTCAGCTTCAAGGACCCCAGTGATTACGTGCGTGCCATGCGTGAGATGAATGGTGGGTGAGGTCTCCCTGGGGCAGCGGGTGTGGTGGGCATCTAGCCTGAGCCCCCCAAGCCTGACCTTGAGCCCTCCATACCCACAGGGAAATACGTGGGCTCACGCCCCATCAAGTTGCGCAAGAGTATGTGGAAGGACCGGAACCTGGACGTAGTGCGAAAGAAGCAGAAGGAGAAGAAGAAGTTGGGCCTGAGATAGGGCCTGTGGTTGGACATCTCTGTCTGGCCAGGCGCTGGCTCTTCCCTACAGTTCTTTTGGAAACCCTTCAACTGTACCCACCGACTTACCCCAAATCTTGTTTCAATAAATTTACATTCATTTCCATCCGTGGCTGGGCCACTACCTGGAAGCACTCTAGGGAATGGGGCTTGGCATGCCCATCTGGGGACGGTGGAGAGGCTTGAAGGTTTAACTAGATAAACATCCAAGCAGGGATTTGGGAGTCCCTAATACGTATCCATTACATCTTGAAACTTCACAAGCACATGCCAAGTGCAGTTCATTCAACGAAGAAGGAAGTGGATGCTCATGGTGAGAGCATAGCCGAGCCAAGTCAGCTCATGGCCCGTGACCCATGCCCTAACTCCAGCTTTTGTTTTTAGCACCAAGGTGTAGGGTCTTCTAGGCACTGCCCTTCTGGACCTCACAGCCTTCTCGGCTTGCATCTGTTCAGTAAAATCTCACCAAGGCCCTGGGCAATCTAGGGGGACAGCGGTGACTAGGCCAGTTCTTGGCCCTGCCCTTTGGGACCTCTTGGTCTAGTGGTAGAAGATAGGCTAAAATGGGGAAGACCAAGGTAGTGTAGGAGCCGAGGAGGCGCCTGACCCCACTTGGTCACAGGTGGCTTCCTAAAGGCTTCTTGGCCGTTGCTAAGACCATCTCCTCCTGTCATTCTGCCTCTCCCATCTCTTGTCTCCTTCCCAGTCTCTGCAGTTCTCATCCTCTGGATCTCTGAGACTATTCTCTGCCAAACCCCAGCAAAGTTCTCTTGCTACATGTCTCTGTGTGGGTCTCCATTTCTCGGTCTCTGAGTTTCTCTCTGAGTGTCTCTCTGTTTCTTGTCTATTTATGCCTGAATCTCTGTTCTCTCTTGACATCTCTGTCTCATTTTAGAAGGATGGAGAAACCAGGGATGCCTGAGGGTTCTGTGGATCCACTGAGTACATCCCAGCCCCACCCACCCACTCTGTGGTCCTCTGTTTTCCCAGCTTGGAGTTTGTCTCTCTGTCTGCCTGCCAGGGCCTTGAATGCCAGGGTGAAAGCTTAGCCTTTACCCTGAAGGCAACAGCAAGCTCTAGGAAGCTGAGACAAAAGTTTAAGCAGGGAAGTGGCATCACAGATTTGCACTTTATTTTTTAATTTTTATGATTTGGGTGAGAGTTCATTTCAAATTCATTTTCCATATAGTAATTCATACATTTTGTCTCACGACATTGTCTGCAATTCCCCACGGTGTAACAGCTCTCTTCCCGATTTGCACCTTAGACGGAGCCTGAGATGGCATCCTTCTTGAGGAGACTGGGGCAGAGACTTGCCAGATTATAAAGTTTTAGGAGGGGGGTGGGGGTGGGGGTGAGGATGAGAATTTCCTAGGGATGTAGCCATCAGGACCTCTCACTGGCAGGAGGCAAGTTGGGAAGGGCCTTGTGGAGGCATCAAAGGAATGATACTGGGACCTCTCCGGGAAGGAGGTCACCCAGGAGAGCGCTCAGATTCCTCTGGTCCTGTCTTTCCCCCTTACTGCCCCACTCTGACATCACATTTTCCAGTCTGGTCTGAGGGGTGAGGGGCCTCCCTCCCCAGCAGGAAGTGCCCTTCACCCCCCTCCCACCTGAGATAGACCACCCACCCCCAGGACCTTCACCCTGCCCCCATCACTAGGCTCCTTGTCCCTGACCACTCCCACTCTGCTACTAGGGAGGCAGGAAGAGACTAATTGCAGAAAAGGTATTAAATGTGTACCCAAGAGTACTCCTGGGCACACAGAGGAAAAGAGATGAAGAGAATAGAGGGTGAGGCTGAGGCTGAGACAGATGGACAGAGAGCGGAAACAGCAGACCCTGTAAAAAGCAGGGATGGAGAGAGATGGGAGAGGGAGTCCCAGAGGCAAAAAGAAAGACAAGAACAATCAGTCAAAACTAGCAATAAGGGAGATGGGGAAGAAAGGAAACCCAGAGAGATGGAGAAAGAGAGAAACACTCAGACTGAGAGATGGGGAGACTGAGATGGGCAGAGACCAAGGCTTGTCAGAAGAGATTGGGTGATAAGGTCTTACTGGAGTCAGGCCTCGGGCAAGAGACTCAGAGTTGGGGGAGAGACAGAGATACACAGGGGAGAGGCCTCTGACCCTCAGGCCAGACTGGAAACTGTGATGTCAGAGTGGGGCAGTGAGGGGGAAAAACAGGAACAGAAGGAATTTGAGAACTTTCTTGGAGAGGAGGCTTGGGGTCTGGGGGGAGTGGGGGGCAGGGAAGGTCAAGACTCCCTTCAGGTCTCTGGGGTTGGATGGATAGAGGGACCAGTGATGCCAGAAGGCTTTCTGGACCACTTAACTCTGGATCCAGTTCCAACCCACCCACCCACTGTGTGACCCTGGCAAGTGACTTCCCCTCTTGAAGTCAGTTGCCCTGCTGTAAAGTGGACAATCACCTCAAAAGCTTGCAGAAGCTGGACAATGAATAAGGGAGACCAATTAAGAATTGATGCATTTGAATTATGTTGTTGACGAAGAATATTGAATATACCATGGGCTGCCGGAAGAACAAACAAACCTGTCTTGGAAAATATACAGCCAGAATGCTCCTCAGAAGTGAAGATGGGAGACTTTGTCTCCCGTATTTCAGACGTGTTTTCAGGAGGGACCAGTCTCTGGACAAGGACATCATGCTTGGTAAAATAGAGGGCTACTGAAAAAGAGGAAGACCCTCGATGAGATGGACTGACACGGTGGCTGCAACAACAGTTCAAACAGCACCCACTGAGGATGGCGCAGGCCTGGGCAGTATTTCATGTCTTTGCACCCAGGATGAGTCCCAACCGACTCCATAGCACCTAACAACAGAATGGATGAGAGCCGTGGGTACTCACCTCACTCCTCCCAGCGCCACCCACTCAGTCCCTTACCCTCCCTTCTGCCTCACAAGAGATTCTGGAGAAATTCTTAGAAGCTGCCAGAGTAATACTTATTAAAATGAAACAAGAACGGCAAGTGGTTAATGATTGAAGCTGGATGAATACTGGAAAATGCCCCTATAAGGAGTTAGGTTATTTTTAATGGTAAATATTTTTTAATGTAGCATGATGGAGATAAGCAGAGACTCTGAAGCCAGGTTGCCAGGTTGAGAGAAATACAGGTCACCCAGTCAAATTAGAATTTCCGATTAAGTCATTTCTTACTATAAGTATGTCCTAAATATTGCATGTGTGTTGTATATGTTGCATTTTTTTTTTCTGCATCATTTGATTAAAGTTACAGACATCGTAACACTTCACTCCTGCACACCTCAGTAGTCATCTCCTAACAGAGACACCTTTCGTATCCTTAATACCTTTATCACATCTGTGGAAATCAACAATCATTCGTATAATGCATATTCAATTCACATTCATATTTCTCCAGCTGTCTCCCAAAAATTGTAACATGGAAGGGCACAGGATCTGCAGTCAAAAAGAAGCGGGAGGAAGCTTGCCTCAATTTGCCACTTCTTAAAATAAAGAATAAATAACGACCTCTTAAGAGGATTAAATGAAGGCAGACGGCACAGTTGAACGCAGCAAGGATCCCCGATGAAATGTTAGCTATTGCTGTTACTGCTGTTATCGTTTATATTGCCCATGTTACTGTGCCCGACATTCCTAGGAAGAAGCCCCAGAACGCCCCCCCACTGCCCTTGGAAGAGGAGAACTCAGCCTTATGGGAGTTCCTGGGTTTGCCTGTCTTCACCCCATCCCACTCCAGTTACCCCTGCAGATTGTGACGTCGACCAGCGCTGGGGGTAGGGGGGTGGCCGGAAATTCCGCTTCCTGTTGCAGATAAGCCAGGCTCAGGCCAGGCTCAGGCCAGCCGATCCCAGACGCTCTCTCCCCACACCATGTCGCAGAATCAAGTGTCCCAAACGGAGAACCTGTATACTAAGTCCCCCGCCCCCGCTAGCCCGCCATCACCCCATACCGTCCCCATTAACATCTCCCCTCCCTCCCCCGCAGCCCGCATTTTCCTAAGCCTGGGTCCAGGCCCCAGCTGCAGGACAACCCCAACAACCGGGGAGCAGGCTCCGGTCTGTGAGGCTGGGGGCCTGCAGCTCGGCCCCGCCCCTGCCTCTGCAACTCGACCCCACTGCAACCCCTAGCTCTGACGTCTTGGAAAATTCCCCCCTGCCCAGGCCTAGGGGAGTAGGGGAGGGGGTGCACGGTATGAAATGGGGCTGAGACCCCAGGCTCGGGGCACAGGGACCTGCCAGAGGTGAGCGAAGAGCTGGGGCCTTGATATCTGGGTCCCAGGGTGAAGAGGTGCCTGGGGCCCCTGACTCCTGGGGCTGAGAGAGGAGAGGGCTGAGGGAAAAGGGGACTGGAAGCTACAGGATGGTGAGGAAGGAGGGAGCAAGAGCCTGAACTCCTGGGTTTGAGGGAAGTGAGGGTGGGGGTCCAGACTCCAGGGTCCCTAATGCCACCAGCTCACCAGTTGCCCTTTCCAATTTTCCCAGCGCGTATCATTCAGAAAGAACACCCATGGATTTGTTGAACTGGAATGAAGCATCACCACAGGAAGTGCCCCTTGGGAACAGGCCCTCAGGTCTGGGTCGGCTGCTGGCCTGAGGCCGTGGGGAGGTGGGGACCTCTGCCTACCCCTCAACCGCCCCTAAACACCTCATTGCCTGCAGCAGGTACTGAAGTTGGCTTCGATTTCTCTGAATTGGCACTCCAAGGGGACACGCAGACAACAGAGACATGCTGGAAAGGTGGCTGCAGGCTGGTACTCCCGGGTGCCCAAGAAGAGAGCGGGCTGGGCTCTTGGGTCTGTGGGGAGAGGGCTGTCTCTTGCTCCTGAGGCTAAGGGAAGAGGGGATCCCAGGATCCTGAATCCTAGGCCTGAATGAGTAGGGATTGAGGGGCCAACTACCAGTCCTGGACCAAGAAAGACTACTGAGTGTGCCGTTGAGGGGGGGTCTGTATTACTGACACCCTTCTTTAAACCCAGCTATGACCTTACCCCTTTTAGGGCTTCCACAGTTGGACTGGGGCTCCACCTTACAGCACCCAGCAGCTCCATGGGGAACAGGTGAGTGTGTGCTGAAAGATGAGGGTAGGAGAAAACTGGGGGCCCTGAAGCACCGGGGCTGGAGGCCTAGGTTCCCAGGCTGGGGCTGGAGACGCCAGTGCCAAGGTGGCATGACCCGAATCGCGTAACTGCTCCCTCTACTCCAAGTAAATCAGCACCATGAACAGGAGGCGCAGGGACTACGAGCTTAGACCCCTAGAATATCCGACTTCCTGTCCGCGGAGGAATATTCGCTCAGGAACAACTGAGCTCGTCTCACTTGGGGTCCGTTCCTCCTCACAGAGCCCGCCCCTCAGGCCCTTCTTTGGTCGGGAGACTGGACGGACCAGGCATACCTCGGCTTGGACCCTTGGAGTCCCGCCTCCCAGGCCCTGCGCCCAGCCGGCCCCGGCTTGAGCCCCACCCCCTTCTTTGGTTCTGAAGGGGTGGCGGGCCTGACCTGTACCACCTCAGCGGCCCCTTTGTGGTCGCCTGCCCAAGCCGCTGGGAGCTCCACCTGCTGGGGCTGCTCTATCGGCCCGGACAGCGCCACCTACAGGGGCGAGGGCCTCAGCGAAGAACTGTGCGCTAACTACACCATTTCGCGGGGCGAGCCTGCGGGCTCGGATTGTACCACCTCCTGGGCCCAGGGACTGCATACTGATTGCACCACCTCTTCGAAGGAGTACCAGAATTCAGATCGCACCTCTTCCTTGGAACCGAGCCAGCAGTCAGACCCTACCACTTTGACTTGTTACCCCAAAACTAACCACCGAGGTGAGAGGTCCCCAAGCACGTTGTCGGTGAGGGAGCCTAGCCTGAGTGCAGTAAGGCGGGATCTAGAGGCTTAAGGGGGAGGGACCTAGGAAATATTATAAGGGCGGGGCTTAGATACCTTAGTGCCAGTGGGAGAAGCCCCGCCCCCCATACCAAACTCACTGACATCCAGTCTATTCCGACTCATAGCGACCCCTTCTGGGTTTCCGAGGCGGTAAATCTTTACGGATGGAGATAGATTGCCCAGTCTTCCTTCTAAGGAGTGACTGGTGGGTTTGAACTGCCAACCTTTTGGTTAGCAGTCAAATACCTTAGGCACTGTGCCTCCAAAGCTCCTTGGGAAGAAAGCTCAGAGTCAGATATTAGAGTAGTGCCTAAGGCACTTGAGTGCTAATCAGAAGGCTGGCGGTTCAAACCCACCAGCCACTCCTCGGAAGGAAGGTTGAGCAATCTACTTTCGTAGTGATACTGCCTCGGAAGCCCAAGGAGGGGTCGCTATGAGTCGGGTTCGACTCGACAGCACATAACAACAACAACAACAAAGGGAGGAAGCTGATGGGGACCCAGGCTCTAGGGGACGCCTGGATCTCCGAGGTAGGCAAACTCCTAAACCCGACAGGAAAATGAGGGTAAGGAGCGGATGCTTGAGTTTCCAAGGCAGACTCTTGGATCCTTTAACTGGAGGACTCCAGACTTGTGGCCTTGTGTTGGGAGGACCCAGGGAAGTCCTGCGTCGCCGAAGCAGTAAGCCCTGGGGCCGGGAAGCCTGAGTGTTCACCTGTCTCCTCGTCGCAGGTTCTACACAGCTGTGGCAGTTCCTACTGGAGCTGCTCCGAGACGGGGCTCGTAGCAGCTGCATCCGTTGGACAGGCAACGGCCGCGAGTTCCAGCTGTGCGACCCCAAAGAGGTTTGGTCTCTTGCCATCCCCCCCCAGCCAAATCCCGCCCCATAGTCCCCTATTGTTCCAGCAGGTCCCAGCCTCGCCCTCATTAGCCCCCTCCCAATCCAGATCCCGATCCGGACCCCAGCATCAACCAACCTCAACTTCACCCCCCTCGGGCCTGCCTAACCTTCCTCAGAGCCCTACCCTAGGCCCGCCCCATGCATTGGCAAGCCCCGCCCCTTCCCCCGCCCTCTCCGAGTAAGCCCCGCCTCTGCCCCAGGTGGCGCGGCTGTGGGGAGAGCGCAAGAGGAAGCCAGGCATGAATTACGAGAAGTTGAGCCGGGGCCTGCGCTACTACTATCGCCGCGACATCGTGCTCAAGAGCGGTGGGCGCAAGTACACGTACCGCTTCGGGGGTCGCGTGCCAGGTCTAGCCTAGCCGGACCGCGCGGGGGCGAGCAGGGAGCAGTGACTCAGTAAAAATATTCCGTCAAACCTCGTTTCTTGTGCTAGTCTTCATTCTTCTCAGTGACGCTGGAGAGTCTATATGTACCACACCCGCACCCTCCCCTTCCGTGCTGAGTAATCCTGAAGCACAACAGTGATCAAAACAGCCTCTGACCCTTAGGGAACCTATCCTATGTCCACTCTGGGATGCGGCATGCAAAGGAATTAGATCCAGTTCACATAACCTACTATGGCTGCCTTGTGTTGGGGCATGTGAGGGAATCAGACCCAATTACTAATTTGTGAGTTCACCTACTGTGTCCCTTAAAGAGGACAGAGTGGACTTCCTGTAAGGACTTTAGTTTTTACTCTGAGTCAGACTAGAAAGGGGAGCGTTCTGGAGTGAGGAGGGAGGTGATCTGTTGCAGGTGTTAACAGGCTCCCTCTGGCTGAACGTGCGGATTGTGGAGGGCAGCAGGAACCGAGGAGGCCAGAGAGTTGTTCTTCTTGTTGTGTGCCCTCGAGTCGGACCCGACTCAAGGAGTAGGCTTTGGCAATTGTTAAGGAACTGATAGTGGGTTAAGCCAGTTATGACTGGGGGAGATTCTGGATCCATTTGTAAGGCTGCGATGGAATAATTTCTATCAGGCCCTTCGCAGACCCAGGCCTTAACTCTTAACTTCTCCTCTCTCTGATACAGGATTTTGATTTCTCAGCCACCCAAATCTTTAATTTATGCCTTCTAAGAGGTCGGTGGTACAAACCCACCAGCCACTCCGCGGGAGGAAGATGAGGTAATCTACTTCCATAAAGATTTCCAGCCTTGGAAACCCAGCGAACGTTCCTATGAGTGGATAGGGACTGACTGGATGGCAGTCAGTGGGTTTGGGGTTTTTGTTTGTTTAAAGTTTGGAAAAAGATTATGAGCATGAAGGTGGAGTCTGGGTCAATACCTGATGAATGACTCCGGGGGAGAGACTGTTTTGTTTTCAATCCTCTGTAACAATTGACCCCATAATGTTGTTGTTGTTATGTGCCGTCGAGTCGGACCCGACTCCGTAGCTACCCTCCTTGGGTTCCCGAGGCAGTATCACTACGGAAGTAGATTGCCCCATCTTCCTTCCGAGGAGTGGCTGGTGGATTTGAACCGCCAGCCTTCTGATTAGCAGTCAAGTGCCTTAGGCACTATGCTACCAGAGCTCCCTGACCCCATAATAATCCTAATGAAAAACTCAAATCCAAACTAACTGCCATAGAGTCGATTCCGACTGATAGCAACCCACATAGGTTTCCGAGGCTGTAAATCTTTGACTGCTAACCAGAAGGCTGGCGGCTCAAACCCACAGCCACTCCTCAGAAGGAAAGTTGGACAATATTTCCGTAGTGATACCGCCTTGGAAACACAAGGGAGGGGTCGCTATGAGTGGAGTTCGACTCTACGGCACAACCAAAAAAATAATTTTATGGACCTCTGATTAGTACCCAAATGTCTTACCCACTACGCCACCAGAGCTCCTTTCATCTTAATGAAGGTAGAGATCTTTGTTTTGTTCAACGATGTATCCCAAACACATACAGAAGTGCCTGACAAGATAAGCGCTCAATAAATATTTCTTGCATAAATAAACTACTTCAGAAAGGATATTCTACCACAGGCTCGTTTTCTAGTCAGCCCCGACACCCAGAACTCTTTCATTCAGTTAAAGACAGGGAAGTGATGAGAACCTGTAACCAGATGTTCCGAGCCCCAGCTCAGAGACTTTCTAACTGCCGCGCAAGGTCATGATTGGGCTGCGAGTAATGGTGAACAGTCAGTTAGCCCAATAGGAGGTCAGAGTTCTGTGAAAAGGCGGGGCCAGAGTGATTTCCGAGCACCGCCTCCCTATGGGCACTCTAGCCGCGCGGAAGACTCCTTTGTGCTTCGCCTCACTCCGCTTCCGGCAGGCCTTAATTCCGCTTCCGGCCCGATATAGGCGTCACTTCTGAGGGTCACATTGAGGTGCCAGCGGATTCAGGGGCGTCTTTAGGTGGGTATGGCCGACACGGGAACGTAGGACCCCAGCCCAGTAGCTGAGCAACTAGACTCCAGCTTCTCTTAGAACAGGGTGAGGCTTTTGCTTGGTGGCGTTGGGCCTACCCGTGAGCCTGTCTGGGGCCTTGTTCTTGTGTTAACAGTAATAGCTAACAATTTTGTATTGCTTCTTTAATGCCAAGCAGCATTCGAAGAGATTTACTTATTTTAATTCATTTAATCCTCCCTCCGGTCTTGTGAGGTAGAGCCTTTTGACAGTGGGGAAACTGAGGCTCAGAGATGTTAAGCGACGTAGCCGAGTTCACACAGTGGCCAGGTTTCGGACCCGGTAGTTTGGATTGTAGTGCTTTTAATTACCAGGCCGCGGGCATGACCTCCCGGGGGTTGGTGGACAGTAGCTGGCTCTATGGTATCTGACCCTTCCTACCCCTTGGACGTTGAAGGGGGCCACAGCGTCACCCCCTATCTACTCTGACCTCCAAATATGGATTCGAGATCTTGCCCGAGGAAAGCTGCTCTTCCTACGCCTGTTTGTGTCCCGGAGGCCAGTGTTTTACATTCCCCCTCCCCACTTCCTCTCCACCTCCCCCTGCAAAGACTGCTCTGTGCCCCAGATCCTCAGCATGCTTTGGGCGCTTGGATTTAACACGGGTCTGTGCCTCTCTACCCTCGGATTCTCTGCAATCCAGTCAGTTTCTCACAAATTCAACTCTTTAGAGCCATTATATCGGAAATTTTTAACCCTGGGTCCACGGAGTCTATAGAGTTCAAGAGATGCTAGTGCCTGAATTGGGAAAAAAAAACTACATTTGTGTTTTTATGAACTTCCATTCAAATATAGCATTTCCTTTCGTTAGAATGGAGGCAGCAATCCAGGTAATATTATCAGCACCTGTAATTTTGTCACCAATCAATATCACAGATATTATATCATGTTGCAGCTGTTGCAGATGTCACAATATAATTTTCACTCATGATTATGTCAAAATTGTGATGATTAATAAATTTACAGCAAAGTATAACTGGTTTTCTTCATGATTCTGTGCATTTAAAAATACATTTAAGCATATTAAAAGGAAGAGATTTATAGGAATCATCAGACCCCAGAAGGGTTCATGGCACCAAAAAGTTACAGACCTCTCCAGTATAGAGAAGAGACTCTGGTGATGCAGTGGTTAAGTGCTTGGCTACTAGCCAAAATCTTGGAGGTCTGAACCCACCAGCTGCTCTGCAGGAGAAAGATGTGGCAGTCAGCTTCCATAAAGATTGTAGCCTTGGGATCCCTAACCAGTTCTATTCTATCCTATAGGGTCACTATGAGTCAGAATCTAGTTGACAGCAGTGGGTTTGGTTTTGGGTAGTATAGGGTCCGTGCAGCACCTTACCACTTGTGTGCTGTATGTTCCCTCATCTGTGAAATGAGGATTATAGAGTGGCCATTGTGAGTAAAGTGTAGAATGGCACCTGACATGTGATAAGCAGTATATTATTTGGGGACCAGTCCTGATATTGCTAAGGACTTGCCCCCAACCCTGCTGCCTTCCACACCCAGATGTGTGGATTTGCCCTGTCTCTGTCCATTCGTCTGGGTCTGGGTGAGCTAACAGCCCCATGCGTAGGTACCCCACAGTCACTCACTGCCACCCACTTTCATCCAGGAGTCACCACCATGGCAGAAGACATCAAGACCAAAATCAAGAACTACCGGACTGCTCCTTTTGACAGCCGCTTCCCCAACCAGAACCAAACCAGGAACTGCTGGCAGAATTACCTGGGTAAGTGGGGCATGGTGCTGGGAGAATGTAGATCTTCCCCTGTGCTTGGGCCTCAGATTAGTCACCCCTCCCCCACATGGGTCTGACACATCCTAACACTGGTCCTGGCTCCTCTTTTACCGCTGCAGGGCTATTGCCCCTTATCACTAACTGTGTCTCGGGTCAGCCAGGATCACAAACTTTCATTTCTATAGAATTGACTCAACAGCAATGGGTTTGTGTTTTGGGGTGTGTGTATAATGTAACGTATGTATGGAAAGTACATAAAACATAATGTATAGCTAAATGAATAATTCTGAAGTAAACCCCCATATAACCATAACCTGAATTAAAAAATGAAATAGTGCAATCACTCTGAACTCCCCTGCCCATTGTATACCCTGTCTTGAAACCCCCGGCTCTCCTCACTACAGGTATAACCCCACTGACAGCAGTCATATTTTTGGTTTTATCAGGGAGTTTTTAAGTTTGCTTCTTAGTGAGCTTTATAAATACTAAATGTCTTCTTTTTATTTGGATGTCTTTACTCAAGTTTTTAAGGTTTATCCATGCTATGGCATGTAGTTTGTTCATTTTCATTGCTGTATTCCACAATTTATCTGTTTTATTCATGGCACTTCCAGCTTGGGGCTCTTGCAAATGATGCTGCTATAAATATAAACATTGTTATAAATGTAATCTGATGCTTCTGTATAGGCTTTTCCCCCTAGGGAAAATGTCCAGAAATGGAACGCCTAGAGTTTTTTTTATTATTAGTGTTTTAATTAATTGCTTACTTTTGAAAACCAGATAATCCCCCTCGTGACTTTCTTTATAGAACTCTAGCTTCTTAACATCAAGACCATATTCCCTTCCCTTTGCCCTTGTCCTGGGCTTCCATACTCTTCACACATGTCCCTTATGCTTCTCCATCATCTCTGAACCCAGAACTTTCAAATTGGATAGCAGTTCTCAAACTAAAACCAAACTAGTTGCCGTCAAGTTGATTGCAACTCACAGCAGTCCTATGTATTTCAGAATAGAACTGTGCTTTCGGTGGCCTCTGGGTGAACTCAAACCATCAACCTTTCGTTAAGTAGGCAAGTGCTTAACCATTTCTGCAACCCAGAGATTTGCAATTCTCTAAACTCAAACCAAATTCACTGCTGTTGAGTTGGATCCTACTCATAGCAATCCCTCCTTGGGTCTCTGAGGCAGTATCACTACGGAAGTAGATTTCCCTTCCGAGGAGCAGCTGGTGGGTTTGAACTGCCAGCCTTGTGGTTAGCAGTCAGATGCCTTAGGCACTGCACCACCAGAGGGGATTGCAAAATCAATTTAGTGAGTTGTGTGCAGATTTTTTTAGTACACTTATAAGGGTATGTGTCCTTTGAAAAACTTCTTTCATGTGTGTTTGTGCAACTTGTCATGAGATAAGAATTTCTCACTGAGTTTTGGTCAGACATGTGTTCCAGCCATTGGTCTGAGCTGACTCTGAATCCCTTTCTTCACAGACTTCCACCGCTGCGAGAAGGCAATGACTGCCAAAGGGGGTGATGTCTCCGTGTGTGAATGGTATCAGCGTGTGTACAAGTCCCTCTGCCCTTTATCCTGGGTATGTACCTCCTGCTGGAGCCTTGGCATGGAAGGCTGGGGTGAAGCAGAGTATGTGACTTGGCGGGAGGGAAAACAAAGTATCACACTATTCTTAAGGCTCATGCCTTTTCTTCTTTCTCAAACGGACACCTCTCGACCAGTCTGCATCCTTTTTTAAGGCCACCAGGGTCACCTTGCTACATGCATCTTGCTCACACTTCACAGATATATAGTTGGTGCGAGGTCCTACTCCCTGTGGAACTCATCATCTTGTGTAATCTTGTCCTTGGTCATTTTGAACATTTTCAAATATAAAAGTAGAATGGTCCAGTGATCCTAAACACACCCATCACCCAAACATCTGCTTTATCTATCCCTTTTCTTTGTCTCCTTTCTTTTGCTGAAGGATTCTAAAGCACATCCCAGATAGGTCATTTCATCCCTACCTACTTCAATTAAAAAAAAAAACCTCACTGCCGTGGAGTCAGGCACAACTCATAGCGAACACTCCTTGGGTTTCTGAGGCAGTGTCTCTGTGGAAGTAGATTGCCCAGTCTTCCTTCCGAGGAGTGGCTGGTGGGTTTGAACCACCAGCCTTCTGATTAGCAGTCAAATGCCTTAGGCACTACACCACCAGAGCTCCTTACTTCAATATGTATCTCTAAAAAATATGGACATCATAAGGTGACCTTTTAGTTCTGAGCTGACCAGACTTTTGGCAGCATTTAATACTCTGCCATGCCATGTTTCTTTCAATAAAGAATTTATGTTTAACATCACCCTATTTCATCAAATCAAAGACCCCATTGCTATCAAGACATAATGAGAGGTATTAAAATCTTTTTAAAAATTACTGAGGTAAACATAACAGGCATGCTCATTTCAGAGATGTGGAAATTAAAAACATTTCTTAGAATCAAAATATGATACTGTTATAAAAGTAATGTTACAGAGGTGTAAGTCCTCATTTAAATAAACCAAATGTGAGCAACACAATAAAATTTAAAAAATGGAAAGCTTCTGTGCTTCCTCTCCTCTCCCTCTCCTGTTAACTGATTCTCTTTTTCTCTCTATAAATTTATCATACATAAGCCGGGGGAGTTTCTTCTGTGAATGGTTCGTACTGAATATTCTTAGTGTGTCTTAGAGCCTTTTTTGTAATGACATTGTATATAGATCTGCCTTACTCCTTTTAATTACTTATAAGTGTTTTTGTTTAACTGGTCCCTTTGTTATGGTTGTTGTGTTCATATTTTTTAGTATTTTAAATATCCTTGATAGACATCTTTGGTTTGTTTCTTTAGAGCAAAAGAGGCACTCTTTTCCTTGGCTCTTGGTTTTCCTGTCACTTCTGACTGCACTGTTGCAAGTGGCTTTGAGTACCCTGTGCCATCCCAGGTTGTCTCCTTGCCCCTGAGTGATTCTGGGTAACATCATGTTAGGATCGCATGCCATGTTTCCTCCAGCTCTAGGGCCTGAGTTCAGGCATTGCTTGTGTGCTGGACAGGGTGCCAAGAAGTGTGTTCCCGGGCCTGGCACTACCCTCACCCTGGAGCATTTAAAATATTTTTACAACCATCCTTTATTTTCTAGTTTAAAAAGGTCTTTTGTTCTACCATGAAAAATAACATTAGTTTTTTTTTTTTAACAGAATCTTTAAAAACAGAAGATTTATATAATGTAGAAAGTGAAAAACCCCATCCTTTCCAAACCACAAAATCAAGTTCCCCTTGAGGCAGACTAGGAAATTAGTGTGAATTTTCTACTTCCTGTCCTGTGTGTGTGTGTATGTGTGTATGTGTGCACGCATGTGCATATATATACTTTTTAAATCCAGTTATGGATCACACTTGAGATACTGTTTGACACTTTGGTTTTTTTTAACATGTATTGTATACTTAGAAAATATTCCCTTCCCCATTAGCTGGACTGAGGCTTTTTTTTCACTATTTTAAATGACATGGACGTTTCCATATCCATCTCAATCTTTTTCCCTGTATTTAAATGGATTCCTTAGTTTCCTTTCTAGGAAATGGGATTATTGAGAAAAAAGGTAGCTTATAGAAAGATTGGACCAGCCTGTCACTGCCCCTCACTGCACTGTATCTTTCAAATGCCAGTTAAAAGGAGGAGAGAGATGGGTAAAGCCAGCAACTGAGAAATTCAGACATAGACCACAGAGAGTACAAGATCACTGTGAGAGGCCCCAGATGAACCCAGGTACGAAAAGATGTTCTTCCCACTCTAGTCATCAGGGAAACACAGCTTAAAACAACAGTGGTGTTTGTTTTTATTCTGCAATCTGGCACAAAAATTACAAGGCTGTTATTGCCAAGTATAGTGAAATAGGCTTTCTGACAGGCTGTTGGCGGTTCATTAAATTGGTCTGATCATTTTTTAAGTCAAATTTGGCAGGATCTTTTGAAATGAACAGATCACACTCCTTTGACCTGGCAATTCCATATCTAGTCACTACAAAAATACTCATCTTCAAAGATGTTCATTGCAGAATTGTTTATAGTGGGGAATGTTCAAAAGAACCTGAGCTAGATTAATAATGGCACATTTGTCTTGCCAGCCTTTACAGAGAATATATTTGTTTATGTGACAGGACACAAACAGTTCTGAGACATGAAAAAAGCATGTGTGTGTGAGAGAGAGAGAGAGAGATTGGGTGTGTGTGACCAAAATAGCCTATACATGGCACTTAGTGTGAGCCAGCTCCATCATATTAGGTCAAACATGGTAAAACAACTGTAGGAGTTGGATACTATTATCAGACCCTTAATTCTACAGAATTGAAAACAGAAGCCCAAGGAAGTTGGGTAACTTGCTCTAGGTTATACAGCTAGCAAGGAGATGACACAGGCATTTGGATTCTCTCTCTCTTCATTGTCCATGCTTTTATCCACTGCCTCTAACATATAATATATAAATGTGTTACGTGTACACATGCACATATGAAAAATGAAAAAGCTATAACTGTGGGAAGGTCCACAAGAATCAGAGTTTTACTTCTGGGGAATATTTACAATTTGATATATGCCTTTCTGTCATTTTTTATACATGTGCATATCTGTGGCCAACAGAGATATTGCACTATAAAAAGATATCTAGCACCTTCTTACACTTGACTATATATTTTACACTATATATATAGATCGATAAATAAATCTCGTGTGTGTGTGTGTGTGTTTGTGTGTATGAATGGAAGTCCATTCATAGCAGAGCATAGCTCTACTTCATTTTTATCACAGCTGCTTAGTACCCCATGTGTCCTTCCTGTATTCTGACAAGCAACATTGTTGACTCGGGTTCCTGAAGCAGGGCATAGCCACGCTTGAAGCTCTGGACAGTCCCAGATCTCCCAGGGGTGCCCTGCAATAAGCCAGGAATTTTTCACTTGAGTAAATAATGGAGGACAGTGATTTTTGTCTTTCTGGGTGACTGGTGATTCCCCAGCACTTGAAACAGTGACTGGTGCATTAACAGGTGACTGTGGTTACTTGCCAGGAGCTCTGGCGGTGTGGTGCCTAAGATATTTGACGGCTAACCAGAAGGTTGGCAGTCCAAACCCACCAGCCATTCCATAGAAGGAAGGTGGGGCACTCTGCTTCCATAAAAATTTACCACCTTGGTAAGGTGACCAAAAAGGGGGTCACTATGAGTCAGAATCTACTCAGTGGCAGTGAGTTTGATTTGGTTTGGTGGTTGCTTGCTGACTAAACCAAGGAAGAGGTACGCAAAGTGGAGAAGACAAAGAAGTCCACCCTTCTGGTTTCCCTCCAACTGATGAGAGTGACACTGTCTTTCTACAGGTATCAGCCTGGGACGACCGCAGGGCAGACGGCACTTTTCCTGGGAAGATATGAGCCGGCCCACCTCACCTCTCTCCTGGGATCCTGAATCATGACTTAACTAATAATAAAAAAAAGCTCACTGGAAAAGTGTAAGAGAGAGTGTGTGTGTGTGTTTGTGTAGGAGAGCTAGACAATTGGGCAGAAACACTGGAGTAGATGAGAAGTGCCAAGATTCCCTGACCAGTAGGAGGATCCTTAGGGCAGTTATCTTTTCTGTTTGTTTTTAATTTGTCAAACTTTGACCACCTCCTGTTTGCCAGGCAGTTAACAGAACGGGTGATTATTCAGAGTGGTCTTAAATCTCCATACATGCGAAACTTGTCTGTGCTTCCCTTTATCATCTGTACCAGTTTTATTTCGTTTTCCTCTTTAAATCATATTTCATTGTGTTTTCAGTGAAAATTTTTACGCAGTAGATTAGGTTCCTGTTTAACAATTCCTATACTTGTTCAGTGACAGTGGTTACGTTTTTCACAGTATGTCACCACTTTCGGTAATTCCATTCTGGGTGTTCCGGTTCCAGTAATCAAGTTTCCTGTCCCTTTACCCTTCCATTTTTGCTATAATTAGTGACCCTTTGGTCTTATATGTAGTCAGGGTTGCTTCATGCCCATGATAGGTTCTGTGAAATAGAATGTTACGTGATTTGAATGTTGTACAAATACCATATTAGATATAGGCAGCCCGTGGATTACGAATGAGTTCTGTTCTTAAATATAACTTTAAATCAAATTTATACATAAATCAGAACAGTTAAGTACAGTTTGTATCTTACATCACTTGGTCAAATTTGTCTTAGTATATAGTATAACTTCCTATGCGTAGAAAACATTAAAGAAACACTTCCAGATACACTAAAACATCTTTAACATAACAATACAGTAATAGTAATAATATTTTGATGTATGTTGCAAAGTAGCACCCATTATTACATACCATTGTATGTACCTTGAATTTTTGACAGGGGTTGGGATCCTAGGCATGTAGATGTGTATGTTATGTGGTTGGACGTTGCCCAGATGGATGGTAGGCATTATGTGACTAGATGATTGTTTAAAGGTGTGTAGTGCTCATGAGTGATACTCTTTATTTCATAAACTAATCTCTTTTTTAGCTAAAAGATGATCTCAGGATAGTTTCAGTTCAAGGTTTAAAGAGTATCTCAGGGTGATGGTCTCAGGGAGTCCTCTAATCTCAGTAAGTCCAGAAAGAGCCGTGGGTCAGGAATGGGAAGAGTGCAGTCAAAAGAGAGAGAACTCCAGAACATCCATTTATGTTCTGGAGGCAGACCATTCCCCTTCAGGTTGAAAGGGGATTGATTACCAAGATGACATCATGGAAGGTCATCACATCTCATCAGTCACATCACATCATCACCAGCCAGTCCAGTGCCTGCCAAACCTCTGAAAATCAGCTTAGCCCACTTAAAATTTAGCTATCACGGTTCACCACTTGCCAACTTGGCACCTGTACACATCTTAAACCATATATAATCTCTAAATAAAGACAAAGTTACAATTCTGCCTTATATCTTTTACAGTAAGTGATGAGGGAAGAACACAAACATATATATATATATATATTTATATGCATACATACAAACATAAGAAAATAGAACAATTACAGTCCTAGTTTCTGTAATTGATCATGTGGTCAAAGCTGATGTTAAGACCTATCTTCATTCACTCCCCATTCCGTATTCCCTTTGCCCTCAGCAGGCATCTCAGCTGGTTGAGATTGTTTGCCTAGTGGGATGATACAAGTCTTAATTCTGAGATCTGGACCATCAATAGTCTATTAAATTGGGTACTTGTAGTTTTCTATTGAACTTTATCACGGGACTTGGTAATACTAAGAGACACCCTAAGGGATCTTCTGTATTCCAAACATACTCTTCTTTACTTCCATTATGTAATAACAGTTCAGTTCCCCTTGGTAATCAAGCTCAATCATATCAAACAATACAGTAATTTCCTTCTTTGCCTATTGATTCAGAAGCATTAGGAGTCCAAAGTGGCCAGTGGTTAAATGGAATTAGTGTTCTGTCTCCTGGTGGAAGTATTCCTCCCTTTGAAACTAAGACCTCCAGACTAGCAGAAAATAGGGACAGGAAGCAAAAATTTTGTGAGGGGATCACTAGAGGTAATTGTGAGTGGTGTCACTCTCATCTCTATCCCTCAATTCCTGGACCCGTGAATCCCAGAATGAGAGAAACGGCGCCATTATTGGACTCTAATTTTGAGTATATACAACCTCCTGAGGAACACTGCCCCAACCCTGCAAGGAATTGCCACCTAGCTGGTGCTATAGTTGAGTATTTAAAGAGCCATTCCACCATTCTATCAAGCCAGCTGCTTCAGAATGATGGGGAACATGGTAAGACCAGTGAATTCTATGAGCATGAGCCCAATGCCACCTTTGATTTGCTGTGAAGTGAGTTCCTTGATACAGGGTGATACTGTGTGAAATCCTATGATGGTGAATAAGATATTTTGTAAGTGCATGAATAGTAGTTTTGGCAGAAGCATTGCCTAAGTGTCTATCCCAGTAAGAACAGATGCTCACCTTTCCATGATGGGAGCAGTCCAATGTAATCAACCTGCCATCAGGTTACTGCCTGATTGCTCTGAGGATTGGTGCCATCTCAGAGATTGATTCTTGCTCTCTGCTACTGCAGATTGGGCACTCAATAGTAATTGTAGCCAATTCAGCCTTGGTGAGTAGAAGTCCATATTTCTGAGTACATGCATAATCTCCATCCCTGCCATCATGGCCACTTTGTTCATGAGCCCACTGGGCAATGACAGGATTGGCTGGGGCAAGGCTGATTGGTATCCACAGGACGCATCATCCTAACTACTTGATTGTTAAAACCCTCCTGTGCTGAGGTCACCCTATGGTAAGCATTCACATCTTTTGGCCTGTTCAGAGAGGACTGTCCACATACTTCTTTCCCATACCTCCTTGTCACCAGTTTTCCAATCATGTTCCTTCCAAGCCCGTGACCATGCAGCCAAACCACTGGTCATAGTCTATCAATCAGTATACAGTCACCCATCTCGCTATTTCTCGTAGTACAGCTGTGCCCACTGGGAGAATTTCCCTTCATATTCTTTCAGGGAAGTCACAGGAACAGGCTGCAGTGCCTGAGCTGTCCACTTTCAAGTGGTGCCTGCATATTGCACAAAACCATCTGTAAACCAGACATGAGTTTTCTCTGCTTCAGTCAACTGATTGTAACAAAATCCTGGGAGACTGGGAGAGGGAAGGTAATGTGACAGGAGTGGAAACCATGGACATTTGGATCACATCCTCATATAATTTACTTGTGCCTTCAGGGCCTCCTAAACCTTAATATCATATAAGTCCTTCCATTTAATGGAGCTGCTGCTGTGCACATCCAACTTTATGACTTGGCGGGCCAGACAATACCCAGTTCATCATGGGCAGTTCAGGGCACAGTTCAGGGCACTTACTTGCCCTTAGGCTGGAATCTCTAGAGATCTCAAGAAGTGAAACCAGTGAATGTATGTATGCATGTATGTATGGGAGCTCTGGTGGCGTTGTGACTGCTAACCAGAAGGTTGGCAGTTCAAACCCACCAGCCACTGCTCGATAGGAAGATTGGGCGATCTACTTCCATAGTGATACCGCCTCAGAAGCCCAAGGAGGGGTTGCTGTGAGTCAGAGATGACTCAATGGCACATCACAACAACAACAATAGACCGCAAGGCAACAGCTCACATGGTCACACGGTTGTAGAAGATGGCAAGTTCCAAGTCCATGGGTCAGATGTCAGGTTGAAGGTTTCTCCTGACTCACATAGCTTCTGGGTCTGAAGAAACAAGATTGCAGACTTGGCAAGCTGCTGACTCGCAGGCTGCAGAGGCTGACAAATCTAAGACAGCTGGGAAGATGGCAGGCCTCAGGCTCAAGTCCAAAGAACCAGAGGTCAGATGATGATGAGCCAGATGCGGGATCCAGACTGAGCAAAAAGCCAGAGAGCTTTGCCAGGACATCCATATATATCAGAAGGAGGCCACACCCCCAGGGAAACGCCCTTTCAACTGATGGCTGCTCATAGCAAATCATGTCACAGAAGCGATTATGTTATGCCAGATCTCATCATGGAGGATTACTACATTATAACTGCTAAACCAATGAGCATCATGGTCCAGTCAACTTGTCACACAAAGTTAGTCATAACATGGCTCATGGGTAAGTGTTCAGTCTCTAGTAAGAACCAGTAATGAATAAAAAGCTGCTTCTCAAAAAGATGGTTATCTGCAGAGGATGGCAGGGGTTTGCTCCAAAACCCTAAGGGTCTGTGCTATAATTCACCGATAGGGGTCTGTCACAGACTCCAAACAGCATTTCTATGTGTCACTGGCATGTCAAGCATCATTGGATCAGCTGAGTTATATGTCCTACCTTAGTTATCTAGTGGTTCTCTTAACTGAAATACCAGAAATGGATGTCTTTAACAACCAGAAATTTTTTTCTTAGAGTTTAGGAGGTAGAAGCCCGAATTCAGGCTGCCGGCTCCAGGGGAAGGCTTTTGTTCCCTGCCAGCTCTGGAGGAAGGTCGTTGCTCTTTGAGCTTCTGCTCCTGAGCGAATGTCATGTGGCTTGGCATCTCTTGTTCCCCATCTGTACTTGCTAGCTTGCAGTTAATCTCTTATATCTCAAAAGAGATGGAGTCTAGACACACCCTACGGTAATCCTGCTCATTTGAAAACAAGGCAGAAAACCCATTGCCATTGATTTGATTCCAACTCATAACAATCCTATAGGACAGAGTAGTACTGCCCCAGAGAGTTTCCAAGGCTGTAAATATTTACAGGAGCAGACCACCACATCTTTCTCCCACAGAGGCTGGTGAGCTCAAACTGCCAACCTTTCAGATAGCAGCCACTTGCTTAACTACTGTGCTACCGGAGCTCCTAACAGAGACAAGCCATTCCCCAATGGCTTATAACTACAGGGATAAAGGTTAGGTTTTCCAATATATT